AAAAAAATACAAGGCCTGGCACTGGTGGTTCATGCTCAGGAGGCTGAGATCTAAGGATCATCGTTCAAAGCCAGCCCAGGCAGGAATGTCCCTAAGACTCTTATCTCCAATAAACCACCATAAAATGGGCAGTGATGTTCTGGCTCAAGTGGTAGAGTAATAGCCTTGAGATGAAGAACTGAGGGACAGCGCCCAGGCCCAGACTTCAAGCCCCATGATGGACCAAAAAACAAACAACAACAAAAAACATCCATAAGCTCAAGGCACACTTCAAGTAGTAGAATACATGCCTAGAAATTCCAAGGCCCTGAGTTCAAATCCTAGTACATACATACATACATACACACACACACACACATATACCTAACCGGTATTTTCCCTGATGCGAAGAACTTCACACATACATAGATTTACTCAGGATAAGGCAGGATTAGAAGACCTATAGTAGTTAATAATTAAATTTTGGACCCATATGTGCAAAGATGAAATCTAAGAGTACAATATAGCAAAATAGAAGCTGGGCACATAAATTTACATTTGTATTTCCTCCTAGTTGTGAGGCTGGGCCAGATGGTCCAGTGGCAATACGAGAAGAAAAAGAGAGAGAGAAAAAAGAGAGAGGCAGACAGAAAGACAGAAAAACAGGAGAGAAAAGAAAGAGGGGAAAGAGACAGGGATGAGGGAGGGAGAAAGGAAGGAAGAAAGAAGGAAAGAAAGGGTGGGAAAGAGAAATAGAAAGCAAGAAGAAATAAAGAAGGGAAAGAAGGTAGGTAGGAAGGGAAAAATACAAATTTGTTTATGTATAGCAAGTGATCTATGACTTTGCTACACACACACACACACACACGTTCTGTGCTGTGGCTTGTCTGCTGGGCCTCATACATGCTAAATCATCACGCTACCATAGAGCTGTCCCTCCAGTCCCTGTATCTATACTTCTTGGCTGTTTTGGTTGTTTTAAGACACAGTCTCCATATACAGTCCCGGCGAGCCTTGAACTCAGGATCTTCCTGCCTCATCCCCGTGGGTGCTGGGATCACAGATGTGTACTACTGTGCCCAGCAAAGCCTCAATGTAATTATTTAGTCCATTTTACTGGTGCTGTGCTCTGACTCAGACTTAGGGCTTTATCCATACTATGCAAGCAGGCTCCAACTGAGTGACATCCCCCAAACTCCTTATGTTCATATTTCTGTACCTAGCTCTAAGGTATAGAAAGAAAGGTATTAAAAGATTAAGCTTGAGAATAGTTAAGAATGGAAATTGCCTAGCAGTGTTGCCTTCACCATGCAACATTCAGGGACAAATCAACTATTATGGCTTTGACAACCCACACACTAAGAAGGCAGGGTCTTTTGCTTTTAAGGAAGAAAACATGCAACAGGAGAAAAATCTGGCAAATTTAAGTGGAAAAGCTTGTACAAAGTAATTGGCTACTAAAAAAAACATTGATAATATTAAATGAAAAGCAAATAAAATGTATGGCCCAGGAGCGGTGGTTCTCAGCTACCAGGGAGGTAAAGATGAGGAGGATTACATTTCAAATCCAGCCAACGTGGAAAGTGGGTGATACCCATGTTAGGTCACAGCAGCAATCCCAGCTATGGAGGAAGTTGTGGTTAGAAAGTTCACAGTAGAAGGCTGGCTCCAGATATAAATATGAAACCCTAATCAAATAACAATGAAGCAAAAATAAAAAAGAT